CGAGGAGGAAGGGGATAGACGAAGAGGAGGGGGGAAGATGGGAATGTCGTCAACACCAAGTCTTCGGCACAAGCCCAAATAGTCCCTCGTCGAACTATCTAAATCCCAAATGTCAAGTCTGGATCCAATGTCGTCAAGTCTCAAGTCACAACTCTGTCTCTCTCTGTAGTGGTCTGAGAAGTCAGGTGGCGAGAGGGTGAGAAGAGAAGGTGGACTTAGAAGAGGAAGAAGAAGAACTCTCTCTCTCTCTGTGTCCAGTACTAACCTGTGAAGTTGGCGCCTTGATGCAGGTACCACGAAGATGGGGCTGGAGCGATGGCACCACAGGTAAGCAACACTGGCCTCCGCCAGTCTCTCTCCCACTCTGCAATCTACTACCTACCAGCGCCCAGCGCTGAAGACTACAGCTACAGCTATGGCACCCAGCGCCGAAGACTACAGCTAGCGCTACCACTACTGCCTAGCGCTGAAGACTACTGCAGCGCTCCTCCTGAGTGCTGCGGCCGAATCCTGAAGACTACCTCTGCCTACTGACYCCCTCCTGCAGGGCGGGCCAGTCCTTTATAGTGCTGGCCCGTAGTGCTGGCCCGTACAGGAGGCTGGCCGTGCCAATGCCTCCCTGGCCTAGACCCTGCGGAAGCTTCCAGGCAAGAGCCTGGAAGTTCCCTGAAGTTTCCCTGTAGGGAAACAGGCTGGGGCCTGTAGGCCCTGTCAGAAGGAAGCTTCCAGGCAAGAGCCTGGAAGTTCCCTGAAGTTTCCCTGTAGGGAAACAGGCTGGGGCCTGTAGGCCTTGTCAGAAGGAAGCTTCCAGGCAAGAGCCTGGAAGTTTCCCTGTAGGGAAACAGGCTGGAGGTCCGGGACGGGCCCTGCAGGGCCCGTGTGGCTGCACAATATGCCACAGTTAGAGATGGATGGATGAGACCAAATGGCCGTAGCAATAGAGAAAAGGCTGACTCAACGGAATGATGGAGGAAGGTTAAATGTAAAAAGGATCGCATATCACCCAAGGGGAACAGACATGTAGCCGCAAATCCCAGCCTAGAAGGGTCGGCAATGGCTACAGGATGAGGGTTTAGGGTTTAGGGTTTTAGTGACGCTTAAAAAGGTGGGGCAGGTAAAGTCGGACAGGGGATATCGGGACTCACGGGTAGGACGGATGAGTGGGAGTACACAGGCCAGCTTGAACAATGGGCGAGCTCTTTCTAGGTGACATAGAACTATTTGGCAGATCTGGCTTCCAGGTCTGAGAGGAAAGAGTAAGACATGGCAAGCTGACAGTTAATCCTCCACCAAGGTGGAGCAATCAATGTTGTTCAGGGGTCCTTTGGCCAAACGGAAGGAAGCGTGAGTGATTCTTAATGTAATGTATGTTCTGACTTGCCAGTGGAATAGGAACCGGACTGACGCTCCCCAGACTGGAAGGAGCCAGGACCATTAGGCCCTGTTTAAGAAAAAAGAAAAAAAAAAACAATAAAAAAAATGCTCGGGTCATGGACTTGTCCTGGCTGAACGTGTCACGGGTCAGCGCTATTTTCTTGCAGCGCTATCTTTCGCGCCACGCCGCAGCGCCATCGTTCCGAGTAGAGCCCCACGAGTGAGCCGCCCTCTGCGTGCAAATGCTGCGAGCTGTGTCACATGTGTGTGCGGGCGTAGCCTAGCGCCTAGGCGTGCAAGACGATTCTCGTGTGTAGCTGCATCCGGGGGAGAAAAATCCGACAGCTATCGCACCGCCCGCCCACCAGAACGGAAGGTGGAATAGCGCCTACAGGATCTTGGATCCTCATTGAGTCTAAGAATAGTACAAAAGAGGCGACAAGACGAGGGAGATTCGGACAGAATCTTGCTGCCTCAGGACTTACTCTAAGTTGCATACGGGAGACTCAGATTCGCGAGCTGCTACGGGAGCGAAGGAGAGCTAAGGAGTGAGCTACAAGACAAAGGCCTACAGGCACTACAGGACAAAAGCTACAACGACTTTTCTTCTGCGGACAACGAAGAGGAATAGGAGGGGGAATGCTATCCAACCGTTCACTCGACACGGATAAACGGTGGGATAGAGCCCACAGGAGTTAGATTCCTCTACGAGGAAGGCGAGGAGAGAAGTGAGAGGGAAAAAAGTGAGAGTGATTCAGCTAGGGGACAGGTCCTAAAAAGGAAAGGTGCTTTCTGCCCGTGAAGGATATTAGTATCGCTTTCTGCCCGTGAAGGGTAGTAGTATCCTACCGAAGAGTACCAGGGAGACATGACGAAATTGCAAGAAGACCGAAACATGCCTTTCCAATTATGGGAAAAGCGCGTTACGGCCACACGGAGCCCTAGTGTCTCACTGACACGAGGGGACATACGCATCAGATCTATCAAGGGCGACTTTCGACAAGGTTGTGCACTACGACAGCGAGTGAATGTGACTGCTTTAGCATCCAAGAGAAGACAAGTTGGCTTCATTTTTCACGTGAGATAAACCCAAACATCCATACTGACCATCCACAGCCCTAACTATCTACTCACAGCCTACCTTCCCCCTTACACTTCCTATCTGTTATCTTACATTTACTACACCCCATTTGACAACATCTCCATCCCCTTAGCCAAGAAAAAAGAAAAAAAAAAGGGAAAAAAAAAAGAAAATAAAAGGAAAATAAAAAGAGTCCACCGTCCGCCTACACCTCGATTTACTGCGCTGCTAACCCTCCCCTTCGGTGATTCCCGTACACCCAGCTTTCGATCTTGCGGTCTGTTCTGCTGACTATTAGCTACCCCCCCTTATTGGGAAGACATTCCTTTTCTCGATCTCAGCCCTCGCCCAGCCCTCGCCAGATAACCACTTATTTCCACACTGCCACTTCTGCTTTGCTACCAACCCGAACCTTCAGTGCTCACACCGACTGCTAACTATCTACTCACAGCCTACCTTCCTCCTCATATGACTGTCTACCTGCTATCTTACTTCTCCACCCCATTTGACTACTTGCTCCCCCCCCCTTTCTCCCAATGTGTTGGACAGCTATTTACTGCGCTGCTAACCGTCCTCTTCGGTGATTCCCGTACAGCCAGCTTCCAATCTTGCGGTCTGTTCTGCTGACTACTAGCTCCCCCCCCTTTTTGGGCAGATATTCCTTTTCTCGATCTCAGCCCTCACCCAGCCCTCGCCAGATAACCACTTATTTCCACACTGCCACTTCTACTTTGCTACCAACCCAAACGCTCACTGCTCACACTGACAGTCCATAGCCCTAACTATCTACTCACAGCCTAACTTCCTCCTCATATGACAGTCTACCTGCTATCTTACTTCTCCACCCCATTTGACTACTTGCTCCTCCCCCCCTCTCCCCCAATGTGGTGGACAGCTATCTTACTTCTCCACCTTATCTGACTACTTGCCCCCCCTCCCCCCCTCATGTGTTGGACAGCTATTATTTTCTCAATCTCAGCCCCTGCATAGCCCTCGCCAGATAAGCACCTCTTTCCACACTGCCACTCCTACTTTGCTAGCAACCCGAACGTCCAGTGATCACACTGACCATCCATAGCCCTAACCACCTACTCATAGCCTACCTTCCCCCTCCGCACGACCTTCTACCTGCTATCTTACCTCTTCACCCCTTACCTCTCCACCCCATCTGACAATACCTCCCTCTCCATAGCCACGTAAAAAAAAAAAAAAAGGAGAGAGTTCCACTGTCCGCCTAGACCCCAATTTACGGTGCCGACTCCCCTTCAGTCGTACACCCAGCTTTTTGTCTGACGATCTGCTTTGCAGACTATTTGCTTCCCCCCCCCACCCCAGACTGGTGCTGCTCTCATGGCCAGTCCAACTGCAGGCCGAGACGAGGCCTCTTTCAAACAAGCTGTTCAGAATGCACTCCCCATGCACCGCAACCAACAAACGGATAAGACAGCAATGAATATCATAGACAATGAAACACTCAAATTCTTGATCGAAAAAACAAAAGTTGAAGGCGAACCAATCACAGAAAAGCAAAAAACAGAAGGGAAAGAGGAAGAGGTGATTGTATGGAAGTACCCTGATAGGAAAGTACCCGAACTGGACGGCCTCCACGAAAGGCATGGAGTGGTTTTCAATTTTACTTGCAACGGAGCAGATCTCATGCCGGCAGAGAAGAGAAAATGGATTATAGAAACAATCAAGAAGGAAGCAAAACTCAAACACGTTGGGGAAGCCTTTTCTCTGCAGAATTTGGGTCGTAACAACATCATGGTGCTCTTCAACAATGACGATCATGCACGGATCGCAGCAGAAATCCAGTCCAGGAACTGCAACGGATTGATGTGTACGATCACCAAATGGAAGAAACTGACTGTTCAGAGGCAAAATCCGACTTTCACGGTTTTTTACAAACAAACACTGATGAACACAAATTTATGGGTACAATTCCACAACATTCGACGGGGATTCCATGGTCTGTTGGTGGACAGATTGGGGAGACTGTATCCAGCAAACAAAATCCTTAAATGGATCCTGCCAGCTCCATATTTTTTTGCACCTCACTGTGGCTCCATGACAGCCCTTACTAGAAGTCAAGACAGATGACCCCCCATTTTTTCCGCTGACGTGGAAATTCCAAATCGAGAACAGAGTACTGGAAGTCAAGGTCTCTACCAAGACTTCTCCGATCTATTTCAGATGCAGGGAACACGGTTACATGGGAACCGATCCGAACTGCCCAAAGTTCCCGAATCAGTCGAAGGAACGAAAACTCCATCCCAACATGCTAGTGGAAGTTGAGGATGCTCCGGGTACCTGGTTCATCGTAGATTCCAACTACGATGGTTGGGTGTTCGATGACAATTTGGATGACCTAGATTGGGCCTGGCACTGTGTTGATCAGGAACCTTCGGCCAACATTTCCCCCCCGGCAGACAGCAGGTGGCAGAAGAAAGCAACAGACAAAGTAACAGGAAATCCAACAAAGATAAATACCAACCCACTAAATGACTCACGTGTGATTAGAGAAGAAAAAGGCAGGGAAGATCTGTTGTGGGACTTGGACGCAGTCCAGGAACAGGCAGAACAGGAATACACCAAAGAACTGACAACTTTCAAGAAATGCTGAGACGGTTGGAACAAGAGGCCCAAGAAAGAAGGGCCAAGGCGCAAACAGTTAACAAATGAACGCTGGATGAAGTCGACTGTCAGGGGATGGCAAAGGTGGGTCTCAAAAAGAGAAAGGCAATGAACTCAGAAGAGAAGAAGGGAACAAAATAGACCTGTGAAGAAATGGAAAGAAAAATTACGGTTTTTGATTCCCCCAACGACGCTGCAGACAACAAAGCAAGCAACGACATGGAGGGGACAGGGGGGACAGCCACAGACAGTGCGTCTGAGGCCCAACGGTCTCTGCAATGGCTGAGGGAATACATTGAAAAGGCCAAGAGGGAGAGAGAACATGCGTTCGACATCAGAGCAGCCTGTTTGAAGCACATTGCTAGATCCCAGAAAAATGGGAAGAATGGGACAATCGCTGGCATTGAGAGGTCAAAAAATCAGTATGACAGGCTAAAGAAAGAGAAGGCAGAGGAGTTCTCTGAATACACTGCCTTCAGATATGCAGAAAAGAAGAGGGCGAGGGAACAAGGCGTAGCAGACAAGGACAAAACAGTTCTCAACACCAATGACCACTTTCAAGACCTGCGCCCAAAGAAATGGAATACTGGGAAAATCATAAAAAGAAGGAATCGAATTCAGATCAAACAGAGGCAGAAAAGAAATCAGCACGCTCACTTTTGGAAAAAGAAGTGGCTGTGGTGGTGGCCCAAACAGAACAGTTAATAAAGTGGAATGCAGACTACACACCAGAGTTCACTACCATTCAGCACATTGCAGATGGGGAGGCACCTCATGTAGTGGCCTCAGCCAAATCAGCACGTCTGACATTGATGGGCACCCGCCGGCTGATTGCGGCCAGGTACGTAGAGAAAGAGGGAGAATGGCAGATCGCCACAGATGTGTCCTTCACAATCCCAAGGATTGAGGAAGGAAAGAATGTGGCCAGTTTCTTCAAGAAAAGGCAACAGAGGGGTACCCACTGGCATGTACGAAACAGTTGCCCTGGACGATGATCAGGAGGACAGGTGCTCCCAAACAGGCCAAGAGGACCAGCAGGATCATCATATGGACCTAGAGAGACACTCCCCTCGTACCTTATCCCCTTTGATTGCAAAATGGTCAGAGGAAACCAAGTTGAAGAGTGGGATGATGTGGAGGCCTTGGAGAACCATGACAACGATTCCATATAGCGTGCTGGCGGGACCAGGCATTCCAGCGGAACTGTTGGCGGTCTCTGTGGCACACCTCCTGACCCATGGGATTCTGAAGGGAGACAACGATTTGGACTTAAGGGCGTTACAGAAGTGATTACTCCGAGAGTGATATGGATGAGTGGAAGGATGAGGACAAAGAAGTAGGATCAGAACCGGTCCTTGTCCCAGGACAGGGAACCAGTGGAATGTGGGGGAGTATAAGCTAGATGATTCTCTCACCATGGTGCTTCAGGACCCGCCGGGTGATGGGTCGTCAGAGATGGATGCAAGCGATCAGGCCCCCTCCTAGGACGTCTATACTATGATCGCACCCCCTGTCTCTTCACCACGACCTCAATGATGGAGATTTTCAGAAAGGGGACAAACGAAAAGGAAGACCGGGTGGAGCGATCAGGCCCCCTCCTAGAACGTCTATACTATGATCGCACCTCTGTCTCTTCACCACAGCCTCAATGATGGAGATTTTTAGAAAGGGGGCAAACGAAAAGGAAGACCAGGTGGACTAGAAGAAACAAGGGATAGTCATTAGGAGCTGGAATATTAATGGGCTCCTAAATATTATCGACAATGAAGAAAAAATGCAAGATATAATCAAAGATCTTACCGTTCACACAAACAAACTTGCAGATATCATATTGCTACAAGAAACTCACCTTACCTTCTCAACAAAACACAACAAAATTCAGAAACTCTTATCAAGGAAATTGGGAGGAATGAAAGATGAAATATGGTCATCAGACAATACGACAAGTACGAAAGGTACAACCATCCTTATACCCAAGTCATCCCGCTTATACACGACAGGGTCGATATTGGGCAAAGAGGCGGCCACGGTAGAAGGTAGGTGGTGCCTTATGGATGCAAAGTGGAAGGACGAAGAGTTTAGAATAATCGATGTTTACTCACCGAACAACTCCTCAGACATATCAACTTTTATAACAAACATCGGCCATCGGATCCCCCCCTATCGCCCTGTATTTTGGTCGGTGATTGAAACGCAACTATAGACCCCACCACGGATCGCATATCTAGGTTTGCAGCTCGTCAGCATACACGGGAGGCGGTGCCCATCCAAAAGTTGATGATGGACTACAATCTAGTTGAACCATACCGGACTTTGCATTCAGGGACAAGAGCCTTCACATTGGTAAAAAAGAACCATGCTCACTATACCGCTTTCTCCTTCATTGACTATTTCCTGATTTTAGGGACACTAATGGGGATAGCCAAAAGCGTCGAGATCCTGGCTCTCGCACCAGACCCGAGGCTGGATCATAAACCCATCGAACTAATAATCAGCTTCGAACAATATGTTAAAAAGGGGTCCAACTTTCACAAACTCAACAACTCCCTCCTACTCAGCCGGAACTTTCAAGTAGGAATTCACGATTGTTGGCAGAATTTAAAGGGCACCGACCTACCCATACAAGATCGGTGGGAGTGGTTTCAGGAAAGCTACTCCACAATATCACAAACGGTAGCTAAAATCTCAAGGAAATTAGCGGCCGACAGGAAACAGAGGAATCAAGCATTGGAAACAGCCCTGAAGATCGCAGAGACACAATCTGATCAATAACCCCTCTTCGACACTTTGCAGAGACATTTAAAAAACCGCAAGAGAATAACTCACTACGTGGAGATGGTGGGAACTAAAGGGACTACAAATAAGAGCCAGAATGAACGAATATGAGTTAAGCGAGTCAATGTCAAAACACTTCTTCGCAATAATCAAAGAAACTCAAGGGCCAATGCTATAAAAGGCCCGGAAACCCTCTCCAATCCAAACGAAACAACGAGAGATAGCGAAGGAATGTTGAACGTAGCAAAGGAATTCTGCGAAGAGCTCTACCACACGAAGACCCCTATGCCTACTCTGCCCAGCACCTGAGAGGCACGGACTGGGATGCTGCAAGCTAAACTTCTACAACGACAACTTGCTCAATGGGGGACTGGGAAACCTACTAAGTAGTAGCGTCGTCACTTTGTTGTACAAAAAAGGAGAGAGAGAAGATATCAGGAATTACAGACCCATCTCGCTTCTAACACTTCCCCATAAGATCCTTGCCAAAGCTCTTGCCTTTCGGATCCTAGACCTGACGGATAAATGCTTTCATATAGATCAAACAGGCTTCATCCCTGGGAGGTACATCCTGTATAACGTACTGACTCTCAGTGAAGCGGCTAATAAAGTCAAAGAAAAAAGGATAAGCACAACAATCCTCTACTTCGAGTTTGAAAAGGCCTATGACCAGGTCAATTGGGCCTTTCTCAATGCAAGCATGGAAAAGATGGGAGTGGGCCTGAATTTCAGGAAGTGGGTGCGCATTTTGTATACTGACGCCATAGGATGCGTCCAAGTCAACGACTTTCTCTCTGACTGCTATCCAATCTCTCGGTCAGTGCGCCAAGGGGACCCGCTGACTCCCCCAATCTTCCTCTTCGTTATGGAAGCAATAGCCTCATTCCTACACAAAGACCCCTCCATACACAGACTACCAGAGGTCAGTGTAGGATCAACCCACCACTTATAGTTCCCGACGGTAATAATGTTTGCAGACGATCTCACGGTCCTCATAAGAGCTTCAAATTCGTCGTTCAGCGTGTTAGTAAGAGCAATGGAAGCGTTCAGACTGACATCAGAAATGAAGATTAACTGGAAGAAAACAATCGGCTGGTGGCTATCGGAGGAGGAGGTTCCCCAACGTCTAGGACCTGAGGCAGACATGACACCGGAGACACCTACGCGATATCTAGGCATCTTGCTGACAAAGGATGGCCTCACCCCTCAAATGGCCCAAAATATACTTCCAAACAAATTAACAAACTGGGCAAATGGGGTAATACATTCACATCACTGTTGGGGTGTGCACTAGCCATTATACATCTATTTTTTCTATGATGTGGTACATAGCGACAATCTGGACCGTTCCTGACCATACAATCAAGGAACTTAACCGTAAAGCAAGAGCGAGCATACTTGTGGTCGGGTGACCCAAACAAAGAGAACTGCATACCAAAGATAGCTTGGCATTACGTCACAAGGAAACCAGTCGAAGAAGGTCTTGGTATCATAGACCCCGAACAGGAAACCAAAGCCTTACAAGTCAAACGGATAGTCAAACTACTAACTAAACCTGGCACGACATGGAATAAACTGGCCTTGGATAGCATTAGGGCCCTAGCACCTACAGCCACACCAGCAAATATGTACGGACTGTTCTGGGTAATGACCAAGGAATGGAGTCGAAGAACAGGGCGCAGAAATCAACGAAGAGGAACCGAGTCAAATGAAGTCAGACCCCCTACACCATATTGGACTGCATTGTTACGGATATGGCGGGAAGTCATGCCAAGGAAAGTGGGTAGACCCAAATCCAAAGAAGAGGTATTGAGGCAACCCTTGTTTGGTAATCCGTGGGAGAGAGATGAAAGTGATCACCAACTATCCCTTAAGCCTAGAGGAAGGAGATGGTTATCATGGATCAAACATGTTTGGAAAGAGAGCCATCTGTGGAACGAGGAGAAAAAGGACTGGATGACAGGCCAGGAACTTTGCCTCCCATCTCAATGGATGTCACCAACGAGATGAGAACTTACAATCTATTGTCAATTGCATCCCAGAAGGCTGGAAGGATTTGTTAAGCGAAGTCTCAACTTGGAAATCGGGTGAAGGGGGAGTGAGGGTGCAGGATTCAACCCCCACAAGGGTCGGATACTTTGGCAGGGTTTACCTCCTTCCCAATTACCCCTTCCACGCAAGGCCTCTCATCTATCATGAATAAGGAGGTGGAAAGAACAGTCCTAAACCCTTTGGTACTCAGAAAGGTCAGAGTGTTGGGTTCATGGCCAAAAACAATCTTCAGAATAGATATGGCGATTCAAGGCTTGGAATTTGATCCAACAGAGTGGGCTTGGACACCAGACCGAAGCAGAAGCCTCAAAACTAAAGTCTCCATTCAGGAATACACAGTCAAGCTGGGATCAGAATAGATACGGCGATTCAAGACTTGGAATTTGATCCAACAGAGTGGGCTTGGACACCAGACCGAAGCAGAAGCCTCAAAACTAAAGTCTCCATTCAGGAATACACAGTCAAGCTAAGATACAACTTACTCCTCAAAACGAAGGATCCTGAACCAATCATCAAGAACAGATGGCAGAGGCTAATAGGTCAAGAAGCTAGACAGATCCCACAAATACCATGGAAATAATTCAAGTCAATTCACTCGGTTAAAATCAGAAGCTTACAATGGCTCATCTCATACATAGCTATACCGGTCAATCAGTGGCTGCATATCAGAAGAAGCAAGAATGACCCTAACAGTTCAGATTTATGCGCGGTATGTTCAGAAAATGAACCCGGAGATATGCTACACTGCCTGATACGCTGTAGAGAGGCGACCGAATACTGGGCGAGGGCCTCGGATCTCTGGGATTCCCTGTTTTCGTCTCCCCTCCCTGAACATCCCATCTAACTACTCCTATGGACTAACATCCCACCTCAATTCCACAAGACAGAGAAAACGTGGTTTGGAATGATCAGAAAGGTAACGCTTTGGTCCATCTGGAAGGAAAGGTGCTGTAGAACCATTGAGGGACTCTCAACTCCAAGGGAGAAGGTATGGACGGAGACACAGACTTTGATTCAGTCGGAGATCCTTTGCAAGTGGCACAAGACGAGACAGTCCATGCCAGATGACGAAGAGCAACAGAGAAGAGTCAAGGCAAAATTCACTAAAGTGTTGCTTGCAAGGGGCAAAGTTGCAGAGATAAATGACTTCCACATACGATGCAAAGACTGGCACAACTCAGAAACAGGGTGGAAAAGGCAGAGATCCCAACCAGCAGAAGGACAACATCCAGCACACGTCACATAACTTCGGAGGGCGAATCCCAAGACTGCAACTTCCATAGCTTCTCTTACCTTTCTTGCTCTTTATTATTTATATGGCAGGCTGACAAAAATCTCATGATCTCATGTAGTGGACCTGTGAGGAAAGGTGCAAGTAAGGCAAGCTGACAGTCAATCCTCCACAATGTGGGAGTAATCAATGCTGGTCAGGGTCCGTTCGGCCAGACGGAAGGAAGCATGAGTGTGTGTCATGATGTAATATTTATTTCTGACTTGCCGGTGGAATAGGAACTGGACTGATGCTCCCCAGAATGGAAATGGAGCCAGGTCCGTAAGGACCTGTTCAAAAAAAAAAGAAAAAAGAAAAAAAAAACAAACACAAAAAAAACTGCTCGGGTCATTCCAAAACCCAAAAAGGCAAAAAATACCCACAGAATATTTTCACCTACAGCAGGATATAGATTGGCAACAGCAGTTCCTGAAGTCACTATGACCACTGCTGGAATGTTCCTTGCGCGTCCATAGCCGATTGCATGGAATGCCAACGATCTCTCGTCAATACAAATGATTGAGTTCACATGAGGATGAGATATAGCAGCAGCTGCCAATGGTGTTGACCTTGAACCAGGAGAAATGCAAAAGTACTGCACACAGTTTGGCAACATAACAGCCACAAGTCAAAGATTTCAGCAATGGATTTGGTGCAAGTTCAGTCAAGGCATCTGCCCCAGATAAACTACCCACCATGCAAGGTTCTACCAAACCAATTGTTTTGGCAGTTAGACACCTTTAGATGAAAGAGTGGTATTTCAAGCTTGGTAGTCACTGATGACCACCGACCACCTATCCTACACATTCAATCAAGGTTGTCAATGCAAAGCTATAGTAAAGGTGCACAGGGTCTTACCGTCTAGCCGCTGGTACTCCGCATCTTCACGGAGAATTCAATTTCACTGAGCCCAGTTACAGGTTCACCCTTATTATACATCCCTCAAAGGTGGAAGGCTACAAAAAGTTTTTTTTTTTTTTTTTTTTTTTTTTTTCAAACACAACAGAACCTTACGGTTTTGGATCCATGCCCTTTCCCGGTTCTTATTCCACCGGCAAGTCAAAAGGATGCTAGCTTCACCATAATAGGAGTTACCAATTTCCTTCACCTTCAGGCACTGGGCAGGCTTCAGCCCCCATACGTAGTCTTACGACTTCGCTGAGACCTGTGATTCTGGTAAACAGGCGCCTGGGCCTGGTCATTGTGACCTCCTGTATAAGGAGGTACCCCTTCTCGTGAAGTTATGAGGCTATTTTGCCCAATTCCTTAGAGAGAGTTGTCTCGCGCCCCTAGGTATTCTCTACCTTGAGGTGCAGGCACCCATTTATTATTAGTCTTTCGAGATTCCTTGGAAGCATGGCATGGATTACTTCAGCGCCGTAGCACCTAGTACTAGGATGTTAGCATGGAGCGTTTCCTCCACTCCTTCTAACCTTGCATCCTTGAACTGGTCAACATTTTCCGGCTAATCTAGCCTTCTCCGTCCCTCGGAACAAATAAGGGGTGGTACATGAATATTCGCCTGTTGACCATCAACTGCGACTTTCAGCCTAATCTTAGGCCCTGACTGACCCTCGTGGACGAACCATGCGGAGGAACCCTTAGGTTTTCGGGGCATCGGATTCTCACCAATTATGTTTACACTGATGCTTCTCCCTGGAGCGGAACACTCCCCCACCGATGTTATTTTATATCCCACAGCTTCAGCAGACCTACTCACCCTGCGCTCATCCCCATATGGTTGGAAGGCCTGAGTGGACGACATTGATTATATCCCATGGGAAGGATATTACCCCCCTCACCCCTGCCTAATCTGTCCTCGATGACTTACACCGGGGTCCCTGAATCTACTGGACTTGTGTCTGTAATGCTAATTGGTTTTCTGTCTCGTACTTGCTCCTCTCAGCTTCTGGGCCATCAGATGCACTTGAACAGCTAGAGCGGTACAGTCTTTCTGTTTTCTGGCACTCTTTTCTTAGCAGACCCTGCTGCTACTGCAAGGAAAATGAGCAATAGCGAGATGACAATATCCAGAATGCACAATCACATTGAAAGCCAGAAAGTATCACAGTGTCCAGAAAGCAGCATTGCACCAATATGACACCAATGGAGAATCGTAACACTGAAAACCAACGTCAATGAGAGCTTGCTCTCGCCACCACCAACACAAAGTCCAGGACCTTCTCCCTACTTGGCGGTCGGCGCCCAGCCTACTTTCTACACAGCTACTATCTGCCTACTAATTGACAATGCAACTGTTGACGTCAGCAGCCCACAAAGTACTTGAAGATGTCGTCCGATGCAGACCATCGCCAATACCAGGTATGTGCCCTCACATCATCATCATCCTTCTCTCTCCCCCTTGACTTACACCCACGTCTTCCCTCTGTACACCCGAAGACCACCCCCTGCGCCTCACTGTAGACCAAGCCCGAGACAGCTATGTAGGCTGGGATATGGCGCTGCCCCCAGCAGCGCCCTGACTCGCACACGACCGCACATGCTTGCACCTTGCCTCTCAGCGCCAGCAGCAGCCCACGAGCGTCCGCTCCAGCAGCGCTGCCGCTCGCATGGAAGTGCTGAATGAGAGCCCAGGCAGCGAGCTCTTTCCTATATGGAAAGAGCCTGCCTCGATTGGCGGCCTCGCTGGCCCGGGCCTCTGCCCAGAAGCTTCCGGTAGGCCCCAGGAGGCTGTGCCTCCGATACAGCTGCTGGGCCTCCGTTCGGTTGGGCCTCCCAACTGTTTGTGTATGAGGCTGCGATTCTTGCCCAGGGCCTACATTTTCGGAAAGGCCTGGAAGGCCGTGGAATGTCTTTGCTGCTTGGCCTGTGTTTCCCTCAACCAACTGGTATGTCACAACTGCCTGGACCCCAAATACGAAATTGACAGCCGAGGGCCTCTTGTGATTTGTTAGGCCCGCCTTCACTTAGGGCGGGCACATCTGCAACACGGCCCCTTAGGCCTGCCGAGGACCCAGATCCTCGCACTACCCTCAAGCCCAGAATGACCGTGGACTGTAACCAACCTTGGCAGACTGTAAAATCCCTAAACATTAGGCAGCCTTCGTCCTATCCTATTAGCTCGAGTCCTTGGTTGTGTGGGAGTGAAGATGTCGGGTGACCGGGCATCATTCTACATTAACCCAGCTACCTATTGCGGTTTTGGATCAAAACACGGGGATAGTACTTGAGTAGGGTTTATGATTTTAGCGAATAAATTAGGCAACATAGACCAGCTGGGTAGACACAACACGGTGCTGGGAGAGTGAGAAATCTGGGGCCGGTGGGGCAAGGTCGGGGTGTATCCAGTTATGGGCTCCATAGCAGTTCTTCTCTATTATTGCAGGTTCAGCTTGCTACCTTTCTTTTGGGTTTGGATTGCTGCCTCTTCTCTGTTGGTTCAGTGCTGGAATGATCTAACGGTGAGATCCGAGTTGCCACTGGGAAGGTAATCAGATTCTCGTTGTTTCGTCCTGGTATGACAAGCCATTCTTTGAGAACTACCGTCTTCACCCGGATACAGTACCCAGCCATTATGGCTGCATTCGGGGTAACTACCCATCCAAATACAGCGATAATGACTGGTGTTGTATTCGGGGCAAGACGGTAGCCTGCCACCAGCAATTGAACCTAGAGTTCCAGTGTTAGCTCCAAAGTAGTGAATTAAACTGAATTTGTTTATAATCTCTGTTTTTTTTTTAATCTGGTAGTTCTTGAAGCAGTTCCTTTGTTTTGTTCCAGAGGGCGTCAATCTCAGTTTCGAGGATCTGCTTGATGATGTTGAGGGGATTCTCAGGGTTATTGCTGAGATCTTTGAAAGTTATTGCCCATCTCCTTTTCCAGATGGCCCAAAGGATCTGAAACGGTTTTCACCTTTCAGTAACAGATGCAGATCCCAGGGCTCGATCCCTAGACCTTACCTCACCCGTGTACAGTATCAAGTCGACCCTTGTGTGTTTTGAACCCGTGACCTGTGTTTCGATAGCTGACTGTTGCCTGTCATAGGTCTGTGTAGGTGCCGGGTCTTGAACCGTAGGTCTGTCAAGTAGGGATCATAGCTGTGTAGAGGTCATAGCAGTTGCAACTCTGAAAGGTCAAGGTCGTAGCTGCTACAGTCCGGAAAGGTCAAGGTCATAGCTGCTACAACTCCGAAAGGCCAAGTCCACAGACTTCCGGAAGGTCTGGAAGTGGACTTTCGAGTGTTGCTCACGTTGAGGCAAGTGGGCAAGTGGGTAGTCCAACTTTGCTTAGTCAGCGGTACCCGGTCCCAGTCTCACTTTGCCCAGTCAGCATGTACCATGTGGGACTGTGAGCACCATGGGCTGGTGGAAAAGGGGCAGACCAGCGACCAACAGAAGTATAAATCAAGAGGCAGCGTCCAGCCATTCATGTGTTATGATTCTGGTTGTCAATTGTCTGAAGACCAACACTCACTCACATAGACTCCCAGGTATGCCCATACATACACAGAAGGAAGGGGAGAGGATAGGAGTATCACACCGCACAGGGAGATAAACACAGCGGAAGACTTGACCATGCGATATGACAGGGTACACTGAAAGTGCAATTCACTCCACTCAATCCTCACAACCAGTCATAAACGAAAAGCCGAGTAGATCACATCCAAGAAACAATGAAACGATGATAGTTTGGACACAATATCAACACTGCTTATTAACTCAGAGTCTCGAATTGTCAGAATAACCCCAGTACTATGGTGCGCTGTTCAGAAATGAGCAGCGCTTCACTCCCCAACCCTGATGAACCGCTATCACCACCCCTGAGTCCCTGAAACATCAAGTGCCACCCATGTACAGCCTCCAGAGGGAAGTGCCACCCTGAAACAGGCCTCTGAGGCCAAGCGCCACTCAGAGGATGAAGAAGAAGACCAGTGCCATAGTATCTCATGATGACGAAGTGTCGGAAGACTTCCCGGGTGGAAGTCTGCAGCAGCGCCACCACTCCTGACAAGATGACCTCTGAGGAAGAAGCTGCAGCTATGGCTGCGGCGCCACAACCCTGTAACCCTACTCCGGAGGAGGGTCCAGCAGCGCACCAACTTCTCTCGCCTCCAGCAGACCTCGAATAGATGATGAAACAGTAGATGCCTTGGATGAAAGGGTCGCCGCGAAAGCTGATCTGACCAGGAATGTGCTGATAACGAAGATGATATCAGGAAAGGTAAGCGGAGGAGGGGGGAGATGACGAAGAGGGTAGAGAAGAGGAGGAAGAGAAGGAAGAGGAGGAAGAAGAAGCACAAGAAGGGGACGAAGACACAGCAGTAGAGGATGGGTATGATGGCTGGGAGGATGATGTAAAAGAAGATCTCGGCGGGGATGATGATGGTGGCAGGGATGCCGGTGGAAATGGTGGTGGGGATCCCGGTGGTGGTGGTGGCGGCGGTGGTGGGGGAGGAGGTGGTAGTGGTAATGGTGGTGGTGGAGGAGGTGGTGGCGGTGGTGATGATGGCGACAGTGATGAGGGAGGCAGCATTTCGGAACAATAGCCGCATTGGTAGGATGCTGGCCTTCATCGCCTACAGCAACCTCAGCAGCGTATACATTACTTGTAGCTGTTGGACCATTCTCTGGCTGGGCTGGCGTATCCACATTGGTGTTTGCCAGTTCAGCAGGAGTAAGGGGAGGGGGAAGACCTGCTGTGTCGTGCTGTGTGGAGGGCTGATGGTCTGCTGCATGTGGTCGGGTGGAGGCTCTGTATGCCGAGTGTGCATTCAGCAATGGGTGAGCAATGGCCCAACGCACCATACAACAAAACCAATTTGAGAGCCGTGTAACATGAGTGGGTAGCCGGCGCTGTTGGCCACACACATATGTCGTCCAGCCTTTGGCCATGACACTAGGAGGATGGCCCTTAAAAGCATACGTCGTGTGTGTGTGTGNTGTGTGTGTGTGTGTGTGTGTGTGTGTGTGTGTGTGTGTGTGTGTGTGTGTGTGTGTGTGTGTGTGTGTGTGTGTGTTACTCTCCTCACCGTCTTGCTATCATTCTCTCTCTCACACATCTTGGGTGTTTTGCATTTGATGTGTTTGCCTAACCATTTGTGTGTGTGAATATAAACAAGGCTTCACTGCAATTATCTGTGGCGGATAAACCATGCACCGGCACCATCACACACCAGGCAACCCACCACTATACACCCTGCCTGACCCGTCCTTGCTTTGTTTTCAGCGGCAAGTTCGATGCTTCTGCACCACTGCCCATCAGCATCCTTCTTCACAACAGTCCCTTTTGCATCTGATATGCACTACAAGGCAACTCAGTATTTCACTTTTGTCCTCAGTGACACAATTGAAAAGCTCCCTCGCTCGAACAAATTTTTGTATCACCCACTGACTTGCTTCCACTTCGCCGGCTGTTCTTTGATCAAACAAGACCCCCCGATTAACACGTGCAGAGCCATGTTGGCACGTCTTGTCTCTGCTAAATCTAACCTGACACAGAAACACATAGACGAAGCCCAATGATGGCTTCTCTTTAACTAAACGACGAAACCACTGAAACAACAAAATCCTCGGCAAAATGAACTTCCACAATTTCACGAACATCACCGATGAAACTCGTAATTTATGGCACTGGGAGGACTGTGCAAACAGTGGCGAACTGCAGAGGTGCAAGAAAGAATCATTGGTCTTACCGTAATCCCCAAACGGACACATTCTTCAATGATCATCCGCGCCCACAGCTCATTCACATTCACACTGTCTTCCAAGGGTCTCACTGGGGCAAGCAAAGCTTGAAACTTGTACATATAGACAGTCAATAAGACACAAAACATGGATACCACATGCCACATGCTTGTGAATACCTTCCTTCTGATTCTGAAGCTCTCGATGAACAGGGCTCATGACCAGTACTCAAATCAATTTGTGAGAATCCACGGTCCAAACCAGGAATGCAACAGTCTTTGGGGTTTAGCTTTCGGCCAAGACAAAGTTCTGGGGTCAAAGATCATGCTGTAGGGTAATAGCTGCAAATCCAGAAGGTCCTGATGTGAGTAGCTTTGGGGCACATAGCTCCCAGGTCGAAGGAAGAGGAGGAGGAGGAGGAGGAGAGGAGAAGAAGAAGAAGAAGAAGAAGAAGAAGAAGAAGAAGAAGAAGAAGAAGGAGGAGGGGAGGAGGAGGAGGAGGAGAAGAAGAAGAGGAGGGGGAGGAGGGGAAGGAGGGGAAGGAGGGGGAGGAGAAGGGAGGAGAAGGGAGGAGAAGGAAGGAGAAGGAAGGAGAAGGAAGGAGAAGGAAGAAGAAGAAAGAAGATGTACACCAGGATAGACAAATGATAATGCTCTTCTTCTTCGCCAACCACTCTCCTCCTTATCTCTTCCTCTCTTACTCACACAAGATAGAATAATGTTGAATGGCTGAACCAGAATCAATGTCCGAATCCCTCTTCTACTGCAGGTATCACATGAGGTCCACCATAGCCATGGCCACTTTTCCTCTTCCTTCGTACAATGCCGAGGCTATGGCGGCATACTCGAGCCTTGCCCTGATGTCCAAAGGACAACACAAAGCAGCTATCGCTGCTCTAGCCAGGCCGCCATGCCCGACTCTGCCTCAAAGCTTCTTGGTGTCGCTCAACCCCAGCTGGGGCCTTCCTGCTGCAGCGCCCACCAAGGTGAAGAAGATGGCATCCACCATAAGTACCTCTGGAGCTCCTCCCTCTTAGTCCTGGTCTTCTTCCTCCTCCTGTCCTTGCTCCTCCCCAGCACCGCTGCTCCTTGCTAGCACTGCTCCAGCCAGCGCTCCAACCAGTGTGTCGCCAAACTTGCACACCAACAATGAGGCTGATCTCTTCGCTCAGCCTGGAGATATAGTGGCCTACTTGCCTCTTGGGTGGTGACTTTCAGGCCACTCGGCCTTCCAAGCAACCGGTACCTCATCCCTTTTGGAGGGAAATATTGCCCGTACAGGCCCTAGACTCAGACTGGTTGGACTGGTACCCACCTAGACCTAGCCTACTACTACTGGGCCTCTAAAAATGCTAACTTTTGTCTTCTTCTGCTCAGCCTCGAGTACCCGGCACATCTACCTCTAACTGGTGTCGTACCGGCCTACCTGCTACTTGAGTGTTTCCCGCTGCTTCAAGTGTCGCGGGCCTCTTTCCCCGCCACTTGAGTGTTTTCTCTGATGCAATCCTCAATGTCACGGCCACTGGTAAGTACCGGCCCTTCGGGCCCAATGAACGACAAATGCCCTTGTGGGTCACACACACACGCACTCAAGCCGACAAGCACTCAGACAGATGCAATAAATCGCAGTTTCCCAGTGGGGCTGTACACTAAGTGTTTGGCTTTGTAGTTTGTTTTCTTGTGTTGAGCCCTATGGTACTTGATCCCTGAGTATATCACTAGCAGTCTCTGTTTGGTAGCCTTAGGCCATTCGGCCTTTTCCTTTTCCCTTGTCATAGGTCTAGGTCCCCTTTTCCCCCTGTTTCCAGCTAAATGCAGATGAGTATTCGGTTGTTGCCTTTGGAGTCCGTCTATGTCTAGGCAGAGGGTAGAAGTAGCGGGCTGGAAATTTGGTTTGGGTCTTTTCACGTTTTCGTGGGCTGGGGAAACTCTGCTCGTTCGTTGTGGGAGTGCTGCAGCTCTATCTCGGGTGAGGTCATCTTCTTCCTCAATGCCCAGCCATAGCTGGGGTCGGGAAACGAAGTTGAAGATCGCACTGCTGCTATTTCGCAGCTCTGCATGACAGCCTCCACAGGACTGTGTTGTTGGGTTCGGGTGCTGCCATCTTCCACTTGGCAGCCATATCTGCTGTTCCTCCTCTCGACGAACTTTGTCTTCTTCGAAGTGCTGGATAGGATGTCTCCTTCCTCATCAGGACTTCCAGCGCTGCACTTCCGTGCGGGTGCTGAGCTGGCACTGTTATCATTAGGGTTGCTGGTTCAGATTGGCACGCTGTGACAGCTGTGGGGTTACTGCAGCTACGGCAGCCATAGCGAGGGATATGAGGTGTCGAGGAGGAAGAAGAAGACTCCTGCATACTTCATTGAACACTTGTTTCTGGTTGTTCAGTGTTTGTTGTAAACAGTTGTGATTCTTGGAACAAGTACTGTGGATTGATTGGAGGAGGACTCCTGCATACTTCGTTGAACACTTGTTTCTGGTTGTTCAGTGTTTGTTGTAAACACGGTTGTGATTCTTGTGTGGTTTGAGCTTCCGCTGTGCATATCTTCTCTCCAGTTTTGTGTGGATTTGCCTCCTTCGAGTCTACTCTGCAAATGCATACGCGTATGGAAACGTGTGAATTTGTTGTGAATTGAAGTTCAATCGGGTACATAACACAGCCATGCAGACCAGCAAGAGTGCACAGACACAGACTTACAGATAGCAAGCGAGAAACTCAGCAAGGCATTCAGTCCATGAGAAGAACTCAGAGATACAGCTGGGTCTCAGTCCGTGTTTGGTCAGGTCATTACAATTTATGTGTGTCATCCTTGTGCACGGGCCATGCTGATCTTCTCTGTATCGTTCCAATTTTAACGGATGTCCTGAAGGGCCAGGTCAGGAATAGTTTAACCCAGGTACGTCAACAGTCAGGCTCTACCTGGCCAAGCGGATCAATGGTCAAAGATTTCTCCAGAACTCGACCATGGCCACAGATCACACACAAACTGAAGGGCTCAAAGATTGTTTCCAGATGAATTGAGGGCCTACTGTGTCCAGGCAACATCTGACTACACCTGCATGTCAGCCGCTCAGCTACACAAATCTCATCCTTCATTTCAGCCCAGAGGAGGCAGTCCAGGGCGGGCAACAAAGTGTAAGCTGGCCTCCTTCCCGGTGCTCGGCATTCTGCATGGTACCTTTTTGCTGAAATGCTGCTGAGCACCAGTACTACCAGACGTGCCAGCACTGGAAAAAGAGAGTGGGTGAGAGTGCAAGCATACCTGGAAAAGGGAGAGCGAGTGCGAGCCATAACTAGCTGGAACAAGGTGCTGAACTGTCAAAGATAGATAGGAAAGATTGAGATGTCATTCATTTGAACTCTGTAAGTGCATGCATGATGAGGATGATGTGATCATGGTGGGCGTCGGCAGTGGCAGGGCTGGATGGACAAGAGGCACGTCACGGTCACAGAGAGCCGTGCCACGAAGGGGGAAAGAGACGGTGCGCACTGCTTGTGATGTAGGCAAACGGACAACATATTAAGGAAGGATACACATTGGAAGAAACAAAATAGGGGGAAGTGACAGACTGTTTCGTCGGACTTGCACCGACTCATCAGGAGGCTGGAGCAACAATCTATAGAATCCCCATATTGCCCTGTTGTAGGTGGAAGGACGACAGGTAACATCGCAAGCAGCATGGCAAAGGTGAGGCAACAATGCAGCAAGTCGCAGGGAACGATGATGAGCAGCAAGACGATACGCAGCAGGGCCAAACGACATGGCGAGCAGCAGAGCAGCACGTTCAGCAGCAATGCAACAAGGTAGCAGGGCAAGCAGTACGCAACACGTTAAATCAGCACAGCAGCAAGGCAATAAGCCAAGCAACAGCAAGGCGTAGGGGGGCACGTGGGACGAGTGTGGGTAGCCAGGCACGATGAGCACCAAGGCAGAAAAGACCGCAAGGTCTACACGACCATGAAAGTAGCAGGGCAGCGTCAGCAAGATGGCGCCAAGAAGATATTCCAGTCATACAGCATGGACCGAAGCAGATCATAAACCTCTCATACCACAAGTACAAATCGTTGGTTCACACGACTATCGGAGCCTGGGACCCAGCAAATGCACAGACACAGACATCCCAAAGGACCCAGAGAGAGAGAGAGAGAGAGAGAGAGAGAGAGAGAGAGAGAGAGAGAGAGAGAGAGAGAGAGAGAGAGCAATAAGGTGTGGACGAGATGATGGCAAAGTTAAGGGAAAAGAATGTTATGATATACCTGGCTAATCTTGAGATCAAGTTCTTTCCATTCAGAGGCGGCATCAGAACCTTGCACCACTCCTACGCCAGCATACAAAATTGCTTGATTCCCCTGCATCCAGAACAATGTGAGCTGCTTCTGAGCTTGTATTCAATTCATCTCTAGTGTCTAACCTTAATGGGTGCATGAGGAGCGCTGAGGTTATTATTTGGTGCAATCACTATGGTATGTGACAATGCCACATATGAATGGTCATTCGTGGAATCTTCTGGGATCAAGGAGTAGAGGTTCACTCCAGAAATCATAAGAAAGTTGGATAGACATCACACAAGGCAAAAGCTAAAAGAACAGAGTGTCAAGAGGGGACAATAAAATACAAAAAGGAAATTTATATTACAACAATGGTCCACCTCCTTGCAATACTCCTATGCCAGCACACAAAATTGCTTGATTCCCCTGGATCCAGAACAATGCGAGCTGCTTCTGAGCTTGTATTTAATTCATCTCTAGTGTCTAACCTTGTTGGGTGCATGAGGAGCGCCTATGTTATTATTTGGAGCAATCACTATGTGACAATGCCACATGTGAAATGTAATGACCCGCCAAAAACACAGACTGAGAACACTGCTGATTTCTGGGATTTGCCGCTGGAATGAATGCCTTGCTGAGATTCCTGCATTCTGCT